TCTTCTACGGACATCCAAGTTCTCTTGCTGACAGCTAGGATTTGCCCAAAAGCGAGCACAAAGACTGCACTGTAGAACGCAGTATGGCATGTTGGCCTTCAGGGAACATAAGAAAGAAAGTAAAAAATAATGAATTGTCAGTTAGCAACATGAACAGACATCCTGGAGCGAAAGCCCCTAAGTGCAGGGCAAGAAAATAAATCCTTCAGAACACACATTCATATCTCTAAGGGCAGCAAGACAACATGCACAACTCTATGAAACATAACTAGAATCTTCCACAAGCTCACCAGAGATTTATAAAACATGGTCTGTTCTTGTTTCTGCTTCTTACACCATAAAAAAAGGGTTTTATCATTGTTTCCTTGTCCCTTAGTAGAACAGAAGACAGTATGGCTGCATCCTATTGCCACAGAATATTGCCCTAGGAGAGACTCTTGTTGAGATGTTTCCTATGAACAATTCTTGCCAATATACTAACCCCATAAGTGAAAAGCATTCATAAAAAACCAGTGGTTCTTCCTGATTTTTTCTGTCATGCTACAGCATTACTGTTGCATCTCTACTATTATCACCCAGCTTCCTGCTGCCTTTATGCTTCATGCATTCCCCAAGCCTATGCAAAGCAGAAAGAAGATGCTGCCTGCTCAGGAGTATAACAGTTTTGCAGTGTCAAAACAGAGCATGCAGAATATCAAGCAAGGGAGAATCAGGTTTATCAGTTTTCCAAGTCCGCCAGAGATCAGTTCTAAACTACCTTCACCATAACTGCATTCTCCTCCCCACTGAAAGAAATAAATCCTCAACACATGTATTTACCACTTCACCCTGTGTGCATAAAACTCACATGCTAGGGAGAAAAAAAAGCACTTAAAATACAACAAGACAATAAAAAGAACAGGTACTCTGTCACCGGAAGATGGTAATGACCAAAGGTTTCTCAAGTAAATAAATGAAGGCATCAGATGCACACATATTACAGGCAAACTATTTTTAGTACTTCCAACAAGAAGTACTTCTCTGGAAGAAGGAGTGCTGGCACTGCACATAATAGCATGCACCAGGACAAAAGAACATAGCAATCAACGAAAATTTCAGACACCAGCTTAGCACTGTCACATGAAATGGAAAAAAAAAAAAAAAAAAAGAAAAGAAAAAACCCCAAACTGTAGGAGATTATTCTACTCAAGGAATGTAGAAATGCTTTACTTCTACACTCAGAGAAATGTCTTGTGCCCCAGACATCCTTTGGAAAAACATTAAAACATTATTTCTGGAACCTTAATCCAGTAACTTTCTCCCTTCAAACCAAATCTTTCCTGGTGCCTTTTTTGTTTTGACAAAAAGGCAATCTGGTTTAGCCATTTCTATCCTCAATAATAACAATAACATTTGATATTATGTATGTATCAGCATCAAGGCAACCTACTTGACTGAAATGCAGTGAATATCCCTGAGTTTGTCTTCCCTGACTTACAGAAAGCCTCATTTATGACCCTGTACTCCACCTTGGAATTGCCATTTGATAATCGAGAGCCACAACTTGTACTGATGACATGAATCTCTGTATCACAGGGGGCACATCTCTGGCCACTACAATAGAAATTACACCATAAAGAGTTTAAATTATTGATAATGTGACTTTCTTAAAGGTCTCACATGCTATGCCCATATTAGCTTTCTTGTTTGACTAAAGAATGAGCTTTTGAAGTGAACACCCCAAAATCCTCAGCTATCCAATCACTAAGCAGTCTCTGAGCACCAGCAAGAGAACACTGATTTAATTCACTTTGCGATTTTACCTATTCTGTCTTGTCAGTAAGCTTTAATAATCAGCCGTAATAAGCCTAAGATGTTTATCTACTACAGTACCTAGCTTTAACCTATTAATATTATTCACCTTGCAAGATCACCTAGAAATCACACCACAATGTGGCTTCCATTGTTCCAGCCAGATTAATTTATTGTAAATAGAGTAAGTAAATAATAATAAGCAATCCTCTGTCCAAAAGGTTGAAATCTTAAAAAAACAAACAAAACCAAAACCCACAATCAACGCACTCAACACTGAAGCTGATACAGCTTAGAGAAAACTGAATTTCCACTCTGTTCACCTGATGCAAGTGGGATAGTGCACTATCAGGAGGATACTTTCTTCTAAGATGTTTCCAGAAAGTTTTGGGTGGGATAGCACACTATCAAGAGGATACTTTCTTCTAAGATGTTTCCAGGAAGTTTTGGGAAACTGCCACAATCCCATTATTAGTTATGCATGTTATGGGTACACACGTAAACACACAGGACCAAGAAGTAAAGGTTCTGGTCAACAAAGCAGTAGTATAAAAATTGTAAGAATTTAAGACTTTCCTTCACAACTTTCAGAAGTCTTTTTTACCAGCTTTTTACCTTTCATCTCTTGCCCTTCTAACACACTACTCCCTGCAGCAACAGTATTTTCCATCAGTCAATCAAAAAGGCAAGTGTCTTGAACAGTGCTGCTGACACTGACAGGAAACACCCCATCCAGCACAGCACACTGGTAGGACGGACAAGAAGCCACACAGCTGTTGATTAAGAGAAAACACAGAAGAAGGCATGGAGATAAGAAAATCCACCCTGCCTACAGCAATACCTATTTTCTGTTAGAAACAAGACAAACGGATCTAGGCATTATGGAGTGGCAGAAATAACAGACTGGACCTGAACATCTCCCTTATTATAGGAAAAAATAGATTAACCAGTCCCTCAAAGACCCCAAAAACCCCTAAGTGAAGGTAAACGAAGAAAAAACAGAAAGTATATTTAATGAAAAAACGCTTCCTGGCAGCATCTAAATTTGAAATTGCTTTTGGGAATGACACCTCGGCTCCCAGCCTCAATTAGGGATTCAATACTTCTAAACAAACATGCATTTGGCATCTGTTTCTCCTCTCTTTTCATTCAGTTCTGAAATAGCTGTAATGCCAGTACCCAGACATAATAAACAGGCTTTATTACCTTCATTCTCCACCTCTGTTCCTCATCTCTAAATTTTCCATTACATGTTAAAATGTACTTCCATAAATAGTCAGGCAAGCAGAAGCTGATAACAAAGTGTTGCTTTCAAATGAACATCTCTGCAGGGCAACAGAGCTGAAGACGGGATAAATAATTTTCTGGGTTTCAGATAATCGACAGATGATACCTATAAGACTATTTTGAAAACATATCATTTTTCATAAAATTATTTTTGAAACCTACGCTGCTATCTGTTCATTATTGTGAACTTTATTATAAAATTTTAAGTATTAGAAAATATATCGTAAATAACACATTTGTTGGGCATTAAGAAATAGGCTAGTATAGTTTGGATAGTATCTGAATTCAAAATATTTTATTTTTGAGAAAGCATTTTAAACAGGTAATGTTGGCTTCTTTAGGGGAATATGGAATATCAGCTACATCACTATCAACTACACTGGCAGCAAAGCTGTCCTCTGCGTGTGACACAATAGTTAGTTAGCATTACTGCATTTCTCAAGTCTCTCTGAAGGATCAGAAATAGTGATGTTTGCACACTTCTACTGCTGAGATACAAATACTTGTGTTCTGTCTGAAATTGTGGAATCAAGCATGCTTCCAAGTGCCTGTCCCAGCTGCTTCCCAGTCTCATCCTCAAGAAAGATCCAAAACCATTCCAGCTTTTCCCACCTACCAGCCTAGACTTCTGTAGAAAGAAAACCTAGGAGCAGAGATCAAAAAGAAACCATGTTTTTATCTAAATAGAAAACAATTATAGTTTATGGTGTAGCTCGCATTCAGGGACACCGTGGTTGCTGCCGTTGACTCTTCCATGCGTAGGGAATGAGGCAGCTAGGGGGAGGAACAGCCAGCCTGTACTGCTCTAAACATGTAAGTGCAAAATAAAAAAGAACATTACAAATTACAGCACCTCTTGTACAAACTGCACGTGTCTCTTCCATGCTGTCTTAAGTTGTTTTATTAACACAGCTCTATAGTTTAAGCCCTCGGGTATTGTGCCTTTAAGGCATCACTTAAAGCCTTTGCCACTCCCGCTCAGGCTGCGGCTTAGGTTGAGGAGGGTGGGCAGGAAGGTGGGTCCTCAGTCCAGATCTGCTGTCTGAAAATACATGACCAAAACTCTGCTGCAGACTACTACACGATGCTCACTGCAGACATTAAGCTCACCAATAACCGTGTAAAATTTAAAAACACTATGTTAAAAGACAGGGTTTATCTGTCACCCTTTTACTTTATACCTGAACTCTTTCATTTCCTCTCTTTGCCTCAACTTGTCTTCCTCACAATAGATGAGCATTTTAAGTGTAAACATTCAGAGTTGGAAACAAATTACCAGTTAAAGAATTCTGTTACCAACCAGAAAACTAAAAAAGAAATGTAACACTATATAGGACAAATAAAGTAATGTACTAAGACATCTAAAAATACTTGAACTAAAATAAATAAATAAATAAAACTCATTATTTCAACCTACCTCGCCTCAAAAGAATTGGGAGAATTACAATCCTTACTGCTAAACTGTTCCAAATTATTATGTTCAAAGCAGACTAATCCTTCATCTAGTACAAGTCAAACTCATACTAGAAAAATGACCAACACAATAAAACCTGTGCACTTCCATTCTAGTTTAAATATACAGAATGACCAGTTCATATCATCACTGAAAGTCTAGTACATGGTGTCATCAAAGACATTTGACTGTGGTTGATCTCAGAATATTTATGGCAGCCTTGAGAAAGCAGGAAGTTCTTTAAAACAAATACACAAAATTTGAATCAGCAACAAAAAATGAAAACATTTTGAAAGAATGACAAAGCACAGGGGAAAAAAATTACTGTGCAGCCAACAGTTTCACAACTGAACACCCACTCCTAACTGGCAACATTTAAATCACAGAGAATAGAACTGCCTGCCCAGAAACCGCATGTGAACTAAAGGCTGAAACGTGAGTCACAGGGAGAAACAAGAAAAATACTTACCTATGAATAGAAAAAGATGCAATGGATCTAATGAGTGATGCGACTGCTCCAACTTTAGCAGCCTCAACTGCTCCTTCCGATCTGTATCGCACAGTTTCACCATAACTGATGAAAGGTTCGTTGTAGACAACAATCTTCCCCTTGGCCTCCTGAGCTCTTTTGTGAAGTTCATCAAAAGAGGCGACCACTATAACTTCTGCTGTAATTCCTGAAAGAAATATTACAGTGGCTTTAACACTGCTTCCCTGTAACTCTCCTACAGCCAGTTTTAACAGACAGAAAAGCATGAACTGTGCAGAACACAGATTTAAAACAGATTTAAATTATTACTGGAGAAAGAAGACTATGTGAAATGCTTCAGCATGGATTGGTACTAAATAGCTGTAATAGCACACTGAACCAAGTACACACAGTTCTGTAAACCCTGCTATCAGGTTGATATTAAAACATAACTTGAAGGGGAAGAAGGATATACAGGGAGAATTCTGTGCTCTGCATGTGCTTTAATGCCTCACTGCAATCATTTATAGCACAAAAACATTTGAAAAAGATGCCTATGGGATTAATAAAAAAAAGATAGTGCTCTTTTCATGGAATTGTTTTGATATGTTGCTAAACAACTTAGCTTAACATAAAACAACTGGAAGCACATATTTTTAGACTGAAATACTTATAAATAAATTAAATGAAATTAAAGCTCTGCAGTTTCAACAAATTTTGTTGTATGCTTATAATGAAAAAAAAAAAAAACAAAAAACCCAACCTAAACCAAAACAAAACCCTTCATATTTAATTCAGAACAATACCATAGTTCTACAGGATCTCATTCTGAGTTTTCCCAGGAACCCATCTTTCCCAGGTGTGATACAGAGAACACAGGCATGTACTTCCGCAGAGCTATTCACACATGGTAAGTAAGATCCCATTCAGCTCTTTGTTTTTCATAGTTGGAATAGTTTTAAATTGCTAAATTATCCTGCTTGAAGAAACAAAGGATTTTATAGATAAGCCATTTTTCCCAAAGCCAGAGAATTCTTCTGACTTCTTAGAACATTCATTGAAGAACTGTATTTCACAGCACTGAAGAAATAATTTATTAAAACGACCACTACGTTTAAAATCCAATTTTGCTGACTGGTTACAGAGGTAAGTAGAAACTGCTTAACAACGTAGGCTGGTTCTTTACTTCTAAATATACAAGTAGTAATGGATGCCTAAAATTTTAGTGCTGTACATTTCACCTAAATGGCACAAAATACGTCAGTGAAAACTAAAACTAATAACAAATGCCTAGCAAGGCTTTTTTGAAGAAGTTGAAACTATCATGTTTTTTAAAAGAAAATATTTCCCCTTGCAAGTTCTCTTTTTGAGACTGTAATACATGAGAAGAACTGATAGAAAAATAGAAAATCATCTCTCCCAGCATCAGTGTATCCAGGCTCATGGCTTCTTTAAGATCAAACTACAGTACACTTCAAAACCTTAAAGAAACTGTTTCACACAGGTTTGGTTTCTTAAGAGTACACCACTAAGAGGGCAACAGAGATCTGCTACTGTCAAAGCCTGTGAGTTTTAGCTACAGAACTAACCTAGCATGAGAGGTGTAGAAAATTTTAACTGAATAACTATTCAGATTCTTAGCCTTACAGAAAGAGGCACAGAGAACCAAACCAGGGAATCACCTTCAAATATTATTAGTTGCTGCTGGCAGGCAGGTGAGCATGCTAACAGACCCCAGCTGCTTCTAATGAACTGCGGGTTCAGCTGCCTACCTAAGGAATATCCCTGCAATAGGATCATTTTGGGTATGGAACCATGCCACTGGAAATAAAGGTATGTATCCACAGAATTTCATTTTCCACAAGAAAAGCCATGATCTTAGTAGGTTGATACTGTACCAGTACTTTGTATTAGCTCTCCCAGTGCTCCACTCGGATCGTGCAGAAGGCACTGAGAGGGCACATGTCATATTAGTGACCATGCATCAAAGGAAGCAAAGAGTAACTCTTCTTGGCATTATTTTACTGCATTAATGAACAAACACCAACTGTGGATGTTTTTTTAAGAATTCTGCACACAGCTAGTAACTATGAATAATCCCCAAGAAATATCATGGAGAAGTACATGCTCTCCCTAGGTGACAGGCATCAGAAGTTTGTACAGTGAGCTTTGTAGGATTTAAAGCTAAGGGAAAGAATGCAGAGCTGCAAACTCCAGCCCAGCATCTCTACTTTTGAATATTCCCAAGGAAGCTAAATAAAGCCATCCTTTTACAAAACAAAACAAAGGTTCTCTCTGCAAGTTTAACTTAATGGCAGCACCATATACGACTAACCTGCATCTTACATTCTCATTTATTGAAGTGACAAGAGAAATGTTCATTTTAAATAAATATGTGGACATGAATACACAGATCACCCAAAGACCTCCTGGGAAAAGGGAAAAATGAAGCAAAACCCCCAGCAGTTTATCAATGTAAGGAGAATAAGTTATTCCTTTCAAAAATGGGTAATGCTTCACCTTATTGAGCCTTCAACCAAATAACAAAACTTCACCCCCAGCATCTCCTAACAATTCAATGCCTCAAGGATCTGCCCCCCATACTGAAACCTGTTCTATATCTTTCTTACTCTTACGATTATCTGATGCAGAGCTTGACTGTGTGTTACTGAACAGAAGTCTTCAGAAAACTCATATAAGGAGGGAAGCAGACTGCCTGCTTGCTTAAACAAAATCTAAAGATTTTAACCCACACAGGCCAAAAGATGACCTTGGAGCATTTGGGGAATTAGCTAAGTAAAGGGCATGAAGTGGCAAAGACAGAATTACAAACATGATAAGCTTAGCTGACTGTATGAAGCTTAAGACTCATTTGACCTCACCATGTGAAACATTATATATATTGTTGGGCTGGGTGAGTAAGCAATAGTATCTATGTAGAACTATGGGTTTCCTCTCATTTCTCATATTAAACAGTAAATTGCACCCTGTCATTTCTGAGAATTAAGGTACAGAAAGGGTGTTGATGGTGGGAACAAACAGGCAATTTTCAATTACCAACAGAATTACGTATTACAAAGTCCTCCATACCCAGAAATGTATGTTTCTAACACTTTGCCACAACTTTGATAATCACACTGCCAGCTGAAATTAAAATGGCATGGTCCTCATTTGCAAAGTCTAAAGTCTGTCCCAGGAAGCATAAAGGCATGACTGATTACAGTTATTATTTACTAGCTACAGAAAGTCCAGTCATATATATATATATATATATGTGTGTGCACATGAAAAAGAACCTGTAAATCAGCTGTCTGCAACACTGCCATACATCAAAAGTTTGATCCTTGGCATGAACAATTCTGTCCGGAGAGCCACCTCCAGCACGTGTTTACCTGCCAACAATCATGCCAGAAATAGATTAGTTCAAAGGGAATTCCTCATGAGGGAACTTACTCCCCCCAAGATCAAATGCAATGAATACTTAAGCCATTTTAGTATCTGGAGCTATGCATCTGTCTGTGTTACTAACAGGTTTCCGAGAAGAGTAAGAAAAAAAAAATGCACTCTATTATCAGATTTTAAAAACTGATTAATTTCTATTAAAACATCAAAAAATCTTCATACAGAATATTGTTGCTGTTTTGGTTTTTCCCCAGTCTTATTTCTGTTGACAGGAACAGCCCCTTGGAGATGTAGTTCCAAAGCCAAATGCAGCCATCATTAATATGACAATATTTTTTTCCAGTAACAGCATGTGAACAACGCACCCCTATGTACCTTCCAAACTTCATTTACTTCACACTGTGTTAATGTAAGAATTATGATTTCTCTTACAAATCACACTATGGAACAGCAATGCCGCTGATCCACATGCACTGAAACTAACTGTCAAATAAATAATCTGACGGGCAAGGCAATTTTTGCTTAAAACAATAAAAATATGGCATTTTTTGGTCTTAACACAATAAACATCGACCAAGTCTCCACTAAACTTCCCTCTGTGTTACATATTTTAAAATTTTTGCATCCTAGGCATAAAATACCAACACAAAAAATCAGGAACACATCTAATTGTTCTGGTACTGTTCAAAATCTCTAGACCTTGAAACTGGAGAAGAATGTATCTGAAATATGTCATAGCCTCTGCAGTTATGACAGCAAGAAAGAAACAAGAGTGTTACGTCTGCATTCATCAGAACCAGGCATCAGGACACCAGGACCAGGAAATGAAGACACTTCATGGTAGGAAGAAGATAAAAGAGTAGGAGCAGCAACACACCACAGGAGCAGGGCAGGAAGCCTACCTGATGATCGCAGGCCTGCCTCGCAGACCGGAAACATCAGACCACCCTTGTTTCTTGTTTACTGGATGGCTGCTGCTTCTCAGATTTCTCAATTTTCACCTCAGCTCTCCCACAGAGTTAAGTTAGCTTGGAAGCTGCCACATCAAGGTATACTGTATTCCATGCTAACCCTAAGCACATGCAGGTGGTAGCCCCAAACTTTCCTGACCTTAGCCTGGCTAATCCAGTTGTCCTTCAGACTTGCCCATCTCCCCAGTGTAAAAGTATCACACCTCTGATTCTTTCAGAAACAGCCTACATGCACTGTCTGGTTACTGTTTGCAAGGTAGCTTCTTTTATAGAGGTACAGGAAACCTATAAGTATTTTTGCATGGGCCACAGGAAAGAGCGGAACAAAAAGTTATAATGTACCAGGCAGGATGTGCAGTTATGCTGTAAGACTGGCAGTCTTGGACCCTGGATGCCAGATCACTCTGTACAGAACCGGAACACATGCCAGGATCGATAGTCTTGGATAAAGATGTAAGAATATGAAACATGCAACAGGGAAGAAGATATATATGTCTAGAGATAGGGAAGAAAAGTAGTTGTTGGGACAGGTTGAAGAAAAGAAAGGTTTGAGGAGTAGAGAGAAAAGGAAATATATATTCTTGAAATCCCAGATTAGGGACCTGGCATTATCTCCCATTTAAGTCTGGCATCCTCTAAAATCAGCCCAGAAAACATTTTTCCTCTCAACTTCTACCTTACCTCTTTTAAACACATGTCACTTTTCATCTCTCTGCAGGAATTAGTTCAGCTTTCCCCTCAGTGTCCCACATAATTCAACAAGATTTTCAGAAAAGCAAACCCAAACTCTGAGTCCATAGTGAACCCATCAAAGTAAGGCTTGGTGTCAGGCTGA